GTAAGACAGAGGCGACCTCTGTTGGGATGAGCCCTCCCCTGGCTCTTCTAACTCACCAGACTGATTCTCCTTGGCCTGCAGTGTCTCAGGAGACTCTACTCACCTCCTCGTGCCCACTGACAGCAAGGGGACAGGCAATGCCACTCCAAACCCAACTCACAAGAGTAAACTCTGGCAAAGCTTTCAGCGGTTACATTCCTAGACCCCTCCCATATCAGCCCTTCCCGTCACCGTAGCAATCTACATCCCGTAATAAGCACTGCCAGGACAGATAGGAGGGGACTTTCTATTACACCTTCAACCCAAATTTGGAGGTCACCCTCATGAGGTCGTGGTGAATGCCGACCAGCAGCTTCTCTGGAATCAGGGCTAGTGACTTCGTGGGGGCAGCGTCCTCTCGCTTCCGTGTCCGGAGGATTGAGCCCGCGTGGTCAGTACGGGTAAGGCAGGGCGTTCCGGTCCTGATGAGCTAACCTAATCTCTGAACACGAAAGGAGATGGCAAAACCTCCTAAGGTAAAGGGACCCAGGATGGCATCAAAAATGGAGCATTCTAAAGACAGGAAAGCACCATCCACGGGGACAAAGAGGAACGTAGGCTCAGGCCTGGTGGGAACTTCCCGGAGAGCAGACCCCTGCCCCTTAGGCTGGGTATCTTGGACAGCTCAGCCCAGCAGCGCGGGGGCAGCTCCATTCGTCCCCAGACAGCTCTCAAGGCAGAATACGTGAGCCCCCGCCCCCGCCCCCGCTCCAGCCAGGCAGCGGCCTCCTCGGTTAAAGCTCTGTGGGTACAAATGACACTTGCATCACTCTCGTTTCATAGGTTGCACTTCACAGATCAATTAATCCTGGAGGCAGAGCCCCCATGAGGCCCTGGGCCTCAGACACGGTTACTGCTGCCTGTAGACACCGTTGCCAAGGCCAGGCCCAAGCGTTCCTCTTCATCTGTCGCCATCTGCTCCACGCGGGGCAGGGTTTGCGTTTACAGCCGAGTGTGTCTTTAGACCTATTGCTCCACTCGTTTAAACTGCTATTAAGCACCTTTCTCCTGTGACCGTCCTCCTCCTCCTGCTGTCTGATGCTCACTCTGCCTTCTGCCTCCAGACGTCATGGCCACGGTGGAGAATGAGGAGCCGTCTCCCTGCGCCAGGATGGGCTCGGGGCGCCGCTGCACCATCAACGGCAGCGAGTGCCGGGGCGGCTGGCCGGGTCCCAACCACGGCATCACCCACTTCGACAACTTTGGCTTCTCCATGCTCACCGTGTACCAGTGCATCACCATGGAGGGCTGGACTGACGTCCTTTACTGGGTGGGTCTGGGCCGGAACCGTCTCCCCTCACCCACTGGGGGTGGACAGGGAGGGGTGCCAGGCCACCGGGAGGGCCAGTCACTGACTTGAGTGCCCGAAGCGCCCTCTCGCTCCCTGCTGGGGAGCCTTGTCCCCAGGTGTGTGTCCCAGCATCCTCTGGGGCATCCCCGTGGTACAGTATGTCAGTTAGGACCCGAGAGGCAGGGGAAGAATGGAAACCAGGGCCTCCATGGCTTCTGGTCTCAACTCCTCACTTTTCCCTAAGCCTGGCTTTGAGTGACTCATTTCCGATGGGTCTGCTCTAGGCCCTAGGATCTCAGACTCCTTGAAAAATGAAGGGCCCTCAAGTCCTTCTCCTTGCCACTCACTGCAAGACTGCTTTCCCTATAAATAGGCTTAGATATTAGTTTCTCATCTATAAAATAAGGACAATGATACTGTCTACTTCACAGCGTTAGTGGGAGGATTAACTGAATTACAGCCGTGCCCGGCACGTACTCAACACTATATAGGGATATATTATTTATTTGGTGTTGTTAAGGGCTAGGTTACATTTCTTATTTTATCTTCCAACGCTGGAAGGCATTGCTTCCATTTTACAGATAAGGAAACTGAGGCTCAGAGAGATTAAGTACCTTGCCCACGGTTGTGAATTTGGTGAACAGCAGAGCCAAGAATTAAGCTCTAATCCATCTGGCTCCAAACCAGAAACCTTAATCACAGCATGACACCGCCCGCGGAGGGAAAATTGTAAAACTGTCAAATGCTTCGCAAATATAAAGGATTAGTATAAATATTTCTCGCAAGTGCACGTGAGGGGAACGAATGATTAAGACGTCAAAGGGCTGTCACGTGTTATTTCACCTCTGTCACACATCTGTGAGGAGAGAGTATGTATCAATACTGCTGTTAGACAGATGGGGATGATGTTCAACATGTTAGGTGACAGTCCAGGGTCACAGAGCTTGTTCATTGTGAAGAATCCTAGCTGTAAGGCAATCGGCTAGATGTAGAGTCCATGAGAGAGTCAAGCCAGGGAGGTGGTAGGAGACACCCTTGGTTGGAGGGAAAATGAGTCAGTTCTTGCCTGGGCCAGGCAGACAGTCAGCAGGGTCCCCCTTAGGAGGTCCTTCCTGCCCAGACCCTGAGTCCTCAGGCTAGAAAAAATCCCCTCACTGGTCCCAGGTGGCTTCTCGCCTTGTCCTCCAGGGTCAGGCAGGATCTGATGGGCAGACTCGGGGAGGGAGACCTGAGCCCTCGAGTCAGAGCACGGGCCTCACACCTCTGTCCCGACCAGGTCAACGACGCCATCGGGAATGAGTGGCCCTGGATCTACTTTGTCACCCTCATTCTGCTGGGATCCTTCTTCATCCTCAACCTGGTGCTGGGTGTCCTGAGCGGGTAAGGACGTCCAAAGGCAGCTGGGAGGAGAGGGAGGAAGAGGAGGAGGGGGAGAGGGAGGAAGGGAGAGGAGAAGGAAAGGAGGAGGGAGAAGAAGGAGGGGCAGGGGGAAGAGGAGGAGGAAGGAATGGAGCAGGGCAGCGGGTGTGGGTCAGGACCGTGGCTCATCCCTGGGTCCCCTTCACCCCACC